CTCTGAGCGGCAGGTGGAGCGCTGCAGTGTTGGAATGGGGTCTCGGCCCGCATAGCGGTCATTTTCTTTTGCCCTGTGGTTGCGATCTCTCTGGGTTAAAAGGGGCTTGGCTTTGGTTGTTAGTGTCATTAATTTTTGAATATTTTTAATATTTGAAAATGGCTAATGAATGCTCGCATTTTGGGAGATAGATGTGTATGTAGCACAAGGAGCGCTGGAGTTGGTGGCATTCCAAGTAAGTGTCACCAGAGACGGCATCAGGTTTGCATGTCAGGTGCGAAGTGGGAAGGCTCCCTCAAACCCCAGGTTCATTACTGGGCAAGCTCAGCTCTCCCATCCTCCCGGGCGGAAAATACAGTGTGCATCCCGGAGATGACAGCGCGCAGGGCTCTTGTAGGAGAGCAGAAAGCACATAGGAAGCAGCTCTTCCGCGAGGACTGTCAGGAACCTCGATTCTTCTCACCAGGGATTACTTATCCTACACAATGCATTTAACAGCACATAGTTCATCGTAGATAGCCCCTGAGTATACTGTATTCCATTGATTTATACAGTTACAAATCCTGGTCTCTCAAACACAAATCTCTCTCAGTTGGCCAATCATCTTGGATGCAAAGGTGTTTTCAACCCGAAGTCCTCTTTTTTCCCTGGGGTTGCTGACAGTCATTCCAGCAGAGCCATTGCAAAGGCAAGAATTTATTCCTGTTCTTTGTACCTCAGTTTCACCTCTAGCTTTAAGGCAGTGGTTCTCAACCTTGGCTGCACATTAGAATCACCTGGGAATCTTTTTAAAATCCTGGTTTCTGGGCCTCATCCTCCGGAAATTCTGTTTCTTTGTTACTAATGTTGTGGCCCCACCCCATAACAAAGAAACAGAATTTCCGGAGGATGAGGCCCAGAAATCAGGATTTTAAAAAGATTCCCAGGTGATTCTAATGTGCAGCCAAGGTTGAGAACCACTGCTTTAAGGGATAAACAGTGAAAATTATCAAATTCCCCTAAAATCGTGGAGTTGATGGTGGCAGGGTTGTTTTATTTTGCTTTTAGGAAGAGGGGGGCAGAAGACAAGGTCACAGGAATATGGTGGTAAGAAACTCTGCTGCTGTTTTCTCCCGAGTTCACCATCTTTATTTTTATGAAACCAGCCTCGGGTAACGAGGTGCACTCATTAAGAACTCTCACGATGCGCGAGGAGGAGAAAGGAAAGCCAGTGCCATGTTTACTGTGGTCTCAAAAGCAAGTGGCTTCCACAGCGGCATCAGGAACTTTGCGCCAGGCTTTTCCCTGACTTGCTGCTCTCCCACAACATGCAATCAAGTTCCTGTTGCCGTTTTACGTCTTTGACATGGAGGCGGCAGATTTGGCCTGAATTTATGTAATTTAGTTGGGCACAAGTATAACCCATGAATAGTCACATTCATCTCCTAATTAGAAAATCAAGTGATAATACAGGACAGGCTGCAGGCACCCCATCATTTCATCCAACAAAAGCATGTGTGTGTGTGCTGGGTCTCTGCAGGGGAAAGAGTCTGTTGAATTGCTTCATGAAGTTAATGAAAAGTGTCCAACAACAGGGGAATGCAAGATGCAGACCAAGTGCACCGCCAGTGTATTTAGTGTGTTAACACCTCTGCATTGGGGGGAAAGATTTTGGGGAAATCTAGGTATAAATCGTAGGGCTTATGAAATTCTAGATTGGACAGGCCTTCATCCCCCTATTGTAGTGCTAGTTCCTATGCGGCGGGAGGAGGAGGGTAGAGAGTAGCCAAAGAAATTAGTGGCAGGAGAGAGGCTTTCCTATGTTCACACTTACATGTAGCTGCTTAGCTGGGTCTCCTCCTTATTCAGCACATTATGTGGAGGCTGTTAGTTTGGATGCTTTATATTTTTGCATCTGGTGTAGTGATATCGATGCTGTTAAATATGTGATTTGCCTGTCGCCTGCATTTTCAGACAAAGATCAAGAGGAGCATAAACAAGCCCCAACTATACTTTATGTAGGTGTTTGGCAGTATTATTTTATATGGCATGAAATTAGTGAATGGAAACTTTAAAAGAAATTGTTCATATTTTTGCAAGTTTGAAGTGTGCCGGGACTTTGTCAAATTCCCGTTAAAATAAATACGTCAATTTCATCTCCCTTCCAAATTCATTTATCTTGCTTTTTTAAAAGGTGTTTTCTACTTTACCTGATGTTTAAATTGGATTCGCTCGTTTATGCTGTTCTTTGCTATATCCCCCACGTTTTTCTTAAATGAATTACTAATGACAGAGCACTCCATCATCCCCTCTCTACAGCCACTTTAAGGAAAGCATGGTGATCTAAACCTTTTAACCTATTAAAGATGATTTTTCCCAATTGAATCAGACCCACCACAGGTGTAATAACTAATCATTTAAACTACACCTGCTATTATGTATTTTTAAGCCATTATGCGTGTTGGATAGATGATAATTCATGTTTATTGCATTGTCCGATGGATCCGTTTTGCCTACACTAGGCTGATTAATGTATTTAAAGAAATAAGAGATGCAATTTTTTAAAAAAAATTGATGGAATGCGCCAAGCACTGCATTGAGTGCACCATTAAACCCATCAGAACTTTGCTCTCTGACCAGAAATGCATATACCAAGGACTATATTAAAAAAGCAAGGTGAAACCTGTGCGTTTTAGTGGTGGGATTCTGTTTTCTTTCTCTGTCATGGAAAATTTTGGAAGGATGAGGGGAAGGTGTATGCTTATGGGTAAATGAGCGGAACTGTGCTGTTAGCATCTCCTGCCTAGGACCCCCTCGGTGGGCCACACCGTCTGGCGCCTGGTACACATGCCCCGCGAGCGGAGACTGCGCCTGGTGTGAGCGCTCTGATTGTCTCGTGCGTCGAGGTGCATTTTTTTTCCAGGTGAAGAACATTGATTCCCGAGCCATCTGAGCTGTGCACGTTGGCATTGACCCCGTGGGCCGGCCCGTGCCAGTGTGACTAACTGTCCTCTTCCAGGGCACAGGCCTGTCTTCCTGTAGTTTTCTCCTTCCTCCCCACTTCTCCCCTTTCCTGTTCTTTTGCCTCCCCTTCTACTCGGGCTCCTCTGCTTCCTCTTGTCCGAATGCCCCTGCCTTCTTCTCCCCTCCCTTTCCCTACTCCTCCCCTTTCCTTTGCTTTTTCCCCTCTTCTTTCTTTCCCCTCTCCCATCTCTTTATTAAAATGCACCCATTTTGGGGATGTTTGTCCAATTCTTGATTTTGGTGCAACCTGAGATGATGTGATCGAAGGCTGGGAGGGGGTGAGTATGTAGTTTTGGGGTTCTAGACTCTTCAGCATCGGTTTTCTGTAGTTTAGAACTGGTTGGTGATCACTGCAGTTCATGATGGGAGCTAAAATGTTGGCAAATTATAACCAGTCTCAAGGAACAGTAGGTTTCCTATCATTCATAGGCCCAAAACTTAAGAACTGGGATCTCTGAGTTCATCCTTTAGGGAGAATGTGTTAGGGAAATATATAAGGAATTGCCCTGGCTTTTTTTTTAAAAAAACAACAACATACTTTTTATTGATTTTTTGCAGAGAGGAGGGGAGAGGGATAGAGAGTTAGAAACATTGATCAGCTCTCAACCAAGGTACATGCCCTTGACCGGAATCGAACCTGGGACTCTGGGACCCTTAGCGTCTGCAGGCCAATGCTCTATCCTCTGAGCCAAACTGGTTAGGGCTTGTTTTTCTTTTTATTTATCCACATATTTTGTCATCAAAGAAGTCTGGTATCAAAATTTAAATTCATATAAAATATAAAAATAATATTTGTAATTTGTGTTCCACTTGTAGTCACAGTACTTTCTGTTTGAATCTCTGTATATTACTCTTAGTCTGAAGGATCTTAGAAAACTTCCTTATATTTGGCCCCTTAGACATTTTTTTCTCTCAACAGCTTATGAGTGAACTGCAGGCCTGTTGACTTTACCTGTAACATGAGACTATATTATTCTTTGGTTTTGATGAGATGAATCATGGCAGTCATTTAAAACAGCCCCCTTCCTACCTGGGGCAGGTTCCCATTGCGCCGGTGTCTGGGATGAGAGCAGGCAGGCTGCGTGCAGTCACGCTGAGTGTGTGCTGAGTGACGTGAAGGTGAATACCTTTAGTGCTTCTTCCGTCCTCTCCGTGGCTCCTTCACAGACATGAAGATTTCTTAACTGTCTTGCCAAGGTAAAGAGACAGTCTGTCAGTCTGTCAGCTTTTAGCCATGAAACCCCAAACTTTGTCCTTCGAAGTCTTTCCGAATCGAGCACCATTACATGAAGGGGACCAGGGCGAAAGGCTGTGCATGTTGCCTCATAGGTGATGGGCCCAGCGGATGTTCCGCACTTTGCCGGGCTCTGCAGAGGTAGCGTAGTCTCTTCCTTCAGGTTCTTGCAGTGTGTTTGAGAGGCAGCCTGGACATTAGAAGACAGTGCAGTTATGTCTTTGGTACAGTGCACATGACAAGCATTGAGGAAGTTGAGAGAATAGGGAGACCAGAGATGGCTGGCTGACGTAGGGAGGGCTTTAAGGAGTTAGCACAGGCCGTAAAAGGGCCGTGCTGGGGTGTGTGTGTGAGAGAGAAATGTTCAGACAAGTAGAGGCGGGAAAGGGAAGGCCTTCTAGAAACAGGGTATAGCACGGGCACACGTGTTGTGACGTAGGTGAGCCTGGGAGGAGAGAGCTGCCTGCCGAGGAGGATGAAGAGTCAGCTTGAACAGGGAGAACAGGAAGAGATTGTGGCAGGTCTTAAACGCTAGGCTGAGGGGATTAGATTTGATAGACTCAGATACAGGAAACCAGTGAAGGCAGGGAACTGACATACGTTTTGTTCAGATAGATTTTAAATGTGAGAAATAACTGCTTATAAATGTGACCCCAATGGTGTGTTATTTCTATGGACATGGGATAAACTTATAGGATTTTTAATCTTGAAATTCAGACTATTGACGTTTACTTTTCTTCTCTGTTGTATTCCCTCCCACCAGATTGCAACAGCAGTGAAGTTTCTACAGAACTCCCGTGTCCGCCAGAGCCCCCTTGCGACCAGGAGAGCATTCCTTAAGAAGAAAGGTACCGGTTCCTCGTGGCCATGCACCGTGGCCTGCAGAAAGGGGCGGGACGGGGCAGATGGACGCAGTGCTGATGAAGGGATCTCCTATAATTGTCCCACTAAAGTGGGGGTGGGTGCGAGGGGTGCCCCCTAGGGGGGAATGCTGGCTTTTTCCTAACGGAGGAGCAGAGATGATCTAATTCGGATAATTGAGCTCCAAATATAAGGCCAACAGCTTAGCCCAGAACAGCCTGGCACAGCTGCATTCAGCGGCAGAGAGGCCCCTTGGATAAGACTCCTGCTTTCTGCTCCGATCTTCTGATAATGGCCCTGGCTGGAAGGCGGCTGGCCTCAGATTAGCTCCTGTAATAAAGAATGAGGAAGAAAAAAATGAAGGAAAAGGGAAATGAGATGAATAAACAAGGTCAGGTTAAGGTCAAGCTTGGGGTCCGTCTGATTTACGGATTGAAGTGGTGAATTACTGGTTTGGTGGTATTTCTGTAGGCATGGAGTAAGTGGGTCTTGACCAATTCAGTATTGTCCGAAGCAGACAGACTCTATTCTGGCTCTGTTGAAATTCAGGATAGTTTTCTTTTTGTTAAACAACAACAACAAAAAACAACTACACCCAAAACCCTCAAAACAAAGAAACCCAATTTTTCATTTGTTTTTTCTAGAAAGCTCTTAAAACCATGAGGGAGGAAAGAGACTCCAACCCCCCCCCCCCCCCCCCCCCCCCCCCCCACACACCAGCTCTACTTGAAGAGCTGGAATGCCAGCCTCAAAATTCTGGGTTTTGAGCTTTAAGTCATTTGTGGCTGGAAAAGCAGGTGGAGTGGTTTGGTGGTATTTCCTAGGTCTGCTCCATGGTATCCCACTGAGGTGACCCTGCAGGATGGAGTTCCAGGGCTGGGCTCGCAGGCCAGGGCGAATACGCCCGAGCATTTCATTCACATGCAGCGAGCTGTTGGGAGATTGCCTCAAGACCGTCCCTGGGACCGAGCTGCAGAGGGGCGCTGTGCGCTCGCTGGCGGCATCCTGCTCGCCCCCATCAGCAGGAGATTATTAAAATTTGGAGTGCGTTGGCTGGCCTCTCCACTCCACAACCATCATGCCATAGAAGAGTTTTTCCTTGAAATATGTGTACCTATGGGGAGTAATTAATCATAAAAGCTTGGGGATTTCAGCTCTCTCATCAAAGCATCGAAGCTGGGGAAAGCTGAGCCTAAAAGCTGTGTTGATTACCCGGGGTAACCTGAGACAAAATCTATGGTTGCCGAGAGATCCTTCGCCCCAGTATATTGTGCAATATTATAACTGCCTGATCTTCTCTTCCACTGACAATGACCAGTTATTCCTCATTTTCTCTCAAACGCATCTGGGTTAGAATTTCATTTGCAGAGGGTATTTAGAGCAATTTAGAGACAAATGTCTCTGGTGTTTGCCCGGCACTTCCCCACCGCAGGCTTTGCTGAGCAGTTTTAGTATCAGAAGCTCCATCTAATCTGTTTAATTTTAATAAATCCCTGACTGGGAGAGGGAGAGAAAAAAAGAGAGAGAGAGAGAGAAACTCGGAACCAAATAATACTTCTTTTGAGTTAGTTGGCTAATAATCGCTGTAGAGAGGAAACCATTTTGTATAATTGTTATTTGTTGCTCCTTTTTAAAAGAAAACACAACTGGTAGATTAATTCATCTAAGAGTGTTTACTCTGTGCCACGCCCTGCGTTAGTCGGAGCCGAGGAAATCCCTGCCCTCTCAGAACTTCAGTTCTACTGAGGAAGGCAGACCAGTGAGTGAAAGAACGACATGTGTGGTATATGGTATGGCAAGTGCCCTGGCTCGGTCTTGGGTTGTGTACAGATCGTGGTGTTGGTGTGGGCGTGGGTCGCACTTTTACACCGACGGTTAGAGCAGGTCCTGCTCGGAGGTGGTAGCTGAGCGCAGACCTGAAGGAGATGAGTATTCGCTGGCAGTGGGCTTCACCCCTTCCTGACCCCTCGTGTGGGTTAGCGCGTTTAGAATTTTCGGCAGCAGAAACCTTGAGAGGCACCCTACCCTTCTTCCCCAGGCGTTTACTGTATTTAAACTTGGAGTAGCTGGACTTAATCCCACATCTCTATTCTCTTTGAAAAGATATTTGATAATTATCTTTGATAATTATCAGTAATTACCCATTTCTGAGCTGAGTCACAATAGGCAAAGTTCTGGCAGGACCTTTTCTGGACAGAGAATTCTAAGGTTTGATCGGTGTCTGGGGAAGAAGAACCCATCGTGGATTTAAACGTCACTTTTAACATTTCCTGTTGTTCCCAAGGTCAGGGGACTGATTAGTGTATCTTGGCACCATCCTGAGAATAGGATGAGGGCGGAGGGGCTTTTGCAAAGGACCAAGCATGTGCCTGTCCCTAACAGAAGTTGGGAAGGAAGGAGACTTGGTCTTTGGGGCTGGGGAGGCTGTCTTAGGGGTGGGGAGACCAAGGTTCTGGTACCCTGACCACTGGTGTCTCCCCAAAGGACTCACTGCAGTGGTGGGTTGGGAGTGCTGGCGTGAGGCGAGCGCACAGCTACTGTCGTCTTGGCTTTTCCTAGCAAATGTCACTTCGGGGAATTGCAGTGGAGCTCTGCCTTGAATTATAATCTTGACTTTCTTTTTTTTAATAAACATCTCTTTCCTGAAAAGGCAAATCCAATTTTGTTTTCTTTTAATATTATTTAATATTTAATATAGAAATTGAGATCCCTGTAGTGCATGTCAGTTCGGTGGAAAATGAGGGTAACTTGAGGCGCATCAGCTGAGTTTGTTTTATTGTGAAACTGCAGCGGGAGCAGGGGCTGCTCCTGCCCCCGTTACTGACAGGTTAGACGGATGCTCTGATTTCTGGGACTGGGAGGCGGGGGGAGGGGTCGTGGAGTGTGGCATAGGGATGGAAGAACGTGGTTTGCAAAGGTCTTTTGTGTTTGTGTTTTTTTATTTTTGTTTTTTGGAGATCTCTTTCGGATGCTTTAAAGTCTGAATATGGAGTCATTAATGAGAAACATGAAGTTATTAGAGTCATTTATCATTTTCTTTGAAGTTTGTACTGCCATTTTGTGTAATTTACAACATTTCTTTTATCGGGAGTTTTTTGGATGAAAGAGAAAAGCAGCTGTTCACCTTCAGAGCGTTAGAAGAAATGTTTTCCCTCAACCACTCGATTCTGCAGATGACACATCAACTGCAGAGCTAGCCCACGTGCAGGGCAGTGACTGCGCGTGGGGTTTAAGCCCGCACAGAACTGGCCTCTACATGGAAGCGCTTCTTGCCAGACAGGCATCATTGCCAGGCTCTCAGCAGGCTGCGGTCCAGCTTACAAACAGCAATCGAATCAGTCCAGAAAGTTAGAGGCTTGGTCATTGTTGTCAATAGGCTTATGTTGATCTGACACCCTATCCAACCACAAAATGTAGGAGGCAGTCTGCCTCCAAACGTGTGTGGCAGGCTGAGCGTAAGGTGGGGAAGTACTGCCCGTTCGAGGGGGACGAACGGGGGCTGAGGCGCTAGATGAGGTGGAGGCACGGGGAGTTGTCTGTCTGCTCACTGCGCTTTCACTATCACCCTGCGTAGTGGGGCCTGCTTATTGTGCCCTCTCCAGTGGATATACCTTCTCCCTCATCTGAGAAATAGTCTGGGGGTGGGAGGAAAACTAAGCAAATAAAACTCACCGCTGTGCTTCCTCATTCTGAATGGTGAAACAAGACCTTCTCTTTCTTCTGTTCCTGGAAGCGGACCCCCCAGTGGAAAACTGCCTCCTTGCAGGAAGTGAATGTGAGGAAGAATCCAGAGGGTCTCAGCCTTGGGAGGGGGGCAGAGGGGAAGGCTTCTCTCACTGGACTATTTTAAGGGGAAGTAAATTCTTACACAGATTTCAACTTGGCTCTCTTTTATTACTTTTCTTTTTTATCATTTACTCCATTTCACGAGGTAGTTTGCATGTCCTTGAATGGAATCTCGTTACCATGAAAGCTTTTTTAGCATTGATTTCATAACAGTCTTAATTTAATAGTGCCATCATTACTGAGAAGCTCTGGGAGTGGGCCCCGGCTTTCCAGGTCACTGACCTTTTAATTACAAATCTTGTTCTGATGGCCAGGTTATCGACTGGACAGCTCCCAGCTTGTGCCCCCAGGATGAAAACGAAAATAACTGCGTTTCCTCCCCCATCTCCAGGAAAAAAAAGTAACCTCATGTGTCTCTAAAATTAATTTTCTCCTTCAGCAATTAATTCTTTAATGTGTCTTAGAGAAGCCAGAAGTCTTGTTATAACGCTGTTTTTTCTAGAGCGTGGGTCCAGCAGATAGCTTGGAGGGGCCGGGGAAGAGGACGGAGATCATGCCAGCTACCACCCGCGCTTGATCGCGGCCCATTTCCTTGTCCTTGGAAAACTCCTGCGGCTGAGCTGGAAGGAATAGCACTGGCCCTGTGAGGGGCGGCCTGGCCCTTCTGACTCTTTGTTGACGAGATGTGGGTTGCAGCATCAAGACTTAAATTCATTCCCGTACTGCTGGAGTAATTGAGCCACCTTAAAAAGGTGTTCTCGTTCTGAGAAAGACAAGGGTTGGATGATTTTTCTTGGCATGTGTTACTTCTCTGTTTGTCTCAGATGACTACACGAGGAGTTCTACTCAGCCTTGAACTTGAACTGAATAGGTTCTCCCTCTCTCACCATGAAGAGGGAGAAAACACGGAGAGGGCAGTGGCCCATAGTAGGATGACCATTGGTTCTGGTTTGCCCAGTACTGTCCCGGCTTTAGCACCGGAATTCTTAAGTCCCGGGCAGCTCCTCAGTCCTGGGCAAACAGGTCACCCCAGCAGTACAGCCTTACTCAGGAGCGAGAGCTACCAGAGACAAAGTGGGTATGTGTTTACAAGCTGGAGAAAGAAGTTCGGCAGTCAATCCCTGAGAGCCCAGCTGTGGTTGAGTGGCATCTTCCTCACACACTGCCTGCTGCCACTCCCCCGGCCCTGCCCTGGTTTGGG